CCCGCGCCTGGCCCGCGAGGCCCGGGCGCCGCGCCCTCTGCGCGGCCCGGTCTCCCGCACCCGCCGTCCCCGCGCGGCTCGCAGCCCGGTGGGCAGCGGGTGCAGCTCGGGGGCCGCAGAGGGGGCCGCCTCCGCCCGGCGCCGTGCGGCCGGCCCGCGCGCCCTTGCTCGCGTCCCGGGCTCACCGCGAGCCTCTAGCTCCCCCCGTCGCCGCTTCTGGGCACGCAGAGTCCGCGCCGCGCGAAGTCCCGGGGTCACAGCCGTGCCAAAGTGGAAGGGCGGGTCGGGGGTCGGGGGTACGCGGACGTCCACAGCGGCCAGCCGGGCCTCTGGGCCTCAGCCCTCGGGAGCAGGCGCCGAGTGGGAGCAGCCACAGCGTGGCCCGTGCCCTCTCGGGATCCCGGGCTCATACTTGCACGCCCTGACTTTGTGCCTCTCTGTTCTGTGCAGGAGAAGCTGTGGAAATACACCCGGATCGAAACGCCCCTGGCTCGCGTGACCCTACCCCGGGAGAAGCAGCCGAGTTACCCGACATCGTGGTCAGCAGAAGCTGGGTCGGTGCCTGGGTGCTGCAGCTGCAGGAACTCGGTGCCTAGGAGGGCTCCTGTGCAAGGAGAGAAGCAGAGATGCCACATTTTTAAAGTTTCACAAAGCATCCAGCTGCACCCAGGTTCCTGGAGCAGGAGACAAACAGAATTAATGTTTTATACCTTCGGGTATAGGTTTGAGTTTTTTCCCCCTCATGCCAAGTATTTAAAACCTCTAGAAACCCATGATTTGACAATCAATGATTGCGCGATACTTTCAATTTGAATATTCAAAGGCTTAACAAAATGGACTATCTTCTGCAGAAATCCTGCACACAGGCACCCCACAGACAGTCCAGAGAAACAGGGAGTGAGACCCCTGTGGGTCCTGGGCCTTGCTTTTATTGTATTTTAAGCATTTTGCCCACCTTTCCACAGACAGAGCAGGAGTCCTCAAAGATGCTCTGTATTTCTGCCTCAAAGGCAGCTCCAGGAGCCCTGAGTGACTTAGGCTGACCTTCATGACCACCTGAGCCAGGCCGGCTGGCCAGACCGATTCCCACGTCCCTAGTCTCCATTTTAAGGGAAAATCTCCGGTTTTGGGGAGCGAACACAGCAGGCAGTAGGTTCAGCTTGGGAAGGAGTCTTGCAGGCCCCAGGTTGCAGGCTGGAGGCCTGGCAGAACGCTCAGCTGTCTGCGCGGCATCTCCTCCTGGCCACTTGCTGCCGGCCCTGCCTTGGGTCCTGCTCTCTGTGTGTGCCCCAGACCCTGGGGTTTCAAGACAGAATGCCAGCCCATTTGCTTCTCCACAAGGAGCTGGGGATGCCTGTGTGGCCTCACTCTGAGTTTCTTTCTGAGGCTGGCGTTTCTTCCTGATGAAGTTCCCTCTTCTCTCGTCTTTCTCTGTCTTGAGCCACCCCTGCCCTGTTTGCTGCAGGAGTTTGTATTGAGAGATGATGTGGACAAGTTTGGGTCCCGCTCATTGGAGCCGAGAGGACGTGGATTTGTGTTCAGGCATTCACACTTTGGGTGAGAGGCGGGAGAGGCTTGCGCTCAGGATGCGGGGCCCGTAGGTCCAGGCCTAGGCCCCTCAAAAATGACGGAACTATGCTGGGTTATGTTCTTCGAGCGCTTGCTGTGACTCTTCCGTGTGATGTGCAAACTTGAGAAGACGGGAGTGGTCCAGAGAGGGAGTGAGGGCCAGGCCAGACCCTCTTCCAGCTCCTGAGGGAAGGGGGCAGCACCAGATGACAGAGAAGCAGGATGGGGTTCCTTTTGCAAATGAGCCAAGACATTCCCATGAGGCCGGGCCAGGCGATGGTGATGGGCCTCTGTTCCCTGAGTTCTGTGAAATGCAAAAGCCCCATAGGCCACCAGAAAAATAATCCGAGTCCCCTTGAATGTGTCCAGTGCAGGGTAGAACGTACATGCCGATGGGAGAATGGAGGGAGGCCCCTTGGGGCGACAAGACGCTGGAGTCTGTGGTGGGTAGGAGCTGCTTGGCAGAGGATCGGGGCTGGGAACACCTGAGATGTTAGCTGGCGGTGGAAGGCAGCGTGGGGTGTGTCCGTTCACAGCCCAGCTGGAATCTCTCAGCTTCCGGAGCCTCTTTCGACAGAGGCCTCTGAGTCTGTGTCCTGAGTTTCCCTGATGGGCGTCAAGCTGGAGGACGAGACTGGTGAGGAGGGGAAGGACACTGGCAGTTCAGAGAGCCCGCTGGCTCTCCCCCAGCCCTGCCCGGTCTGGGCACCGCTGCTTCCAACGGAACTGAGAACAGAACTGCGGACTCGGGGACGGCGGTCTCTTGCCCTCAGAGTTTCGAGTGTCTTCCTCCTTTTCTTATTTTCCACTTAGTTTTTTGCTTGCTTTTTAAAATCTTCCTCTCTGTCCTTTGGACTTTCTATTTACTTTTTTCCCCAAGTGTCTTTTTCTTTGTCTCGCTTCCTGTCACTGCTTTCCTCTGTGTCTTGACTGCATTGCTGTTTTTCTCCCTGGGCCCTTGAGTGTGTCAGTTTCCCTCTGTTCTGGGGTGCTTTCTCGTTTTTTTCAGGCTTACTCTCCTTGCTGACCTCTCCTTTTGCGTGGAGATGGACAGAGGTTGTCGGAGGCCACTGAGTTCCCTTGGCAACATCACTGAAGCTGATGCTGATGGTCGGTACGTGATGTTTGCAGAGGGCAGGTGGGGGGTCAGGGACAGCGAGAGATGAGGTCCTTGGAAGTCACAGGGTCTTTGGGACAGCGAGGAGCTCGGTCCCTTCCTTGAGAAGTCTCTGCCTGAACCATGGCAGCCGTTCTGGGGGCTTCTGTGTTGGCCCTGCTGCAGGGATGGATGTCCCAGGGCTGTCGCTGGTGAGCGACTTCAAGAAAGTTGGGTTTCCTCAGGCCTCAGCCCTGTTTGGAGAAACACGTCTCCCAGTTTTTACCCCAGTATGAATGGAATTTTGTTTCCTGCTCTTTCTGTAATTGCAAAACCCCAGCCCAGATATTTCATGTCCAAATATCATGCTTGTGGATGCAAGGGGGTGTTCTTTCTAATGAGTCCTGTGAATCTTTCCCACGGATCTGCATGTGTCGTGAAGTCTGGAGTAACCAGGTCTACCCTGAGACCCCATTGAGTTGGATGGTCCTCACAGGAGACTTGTTTCAAGAAGTTGTCATTTACTGAGTGTTTATTGGATATCAGGCACCGCATTGTACAGCCTCCCCCTTTCACAGATGAGGCTCAGAGAGGGGTAAGCAACATGCCCAAGGTTATTGAGCACATAAATGGCAGGAATGGGTCTCAAACCTTGACAAGTCTGATACTAAAGGTCTTGCCCTTAACTATCGTTGTCTTCCTGATCTTTTATCACAGAGGCTTTCAAGGCTTTTTGACTTCAACCCATAATAAGAAATTCATTTTACATGTTCACATGCTATACGGCCACATCTACATGTTTATTAAACTCCTCACGAAACAACGTACGCCCGTGGATAAGAGGCATTCTGACATTTGCTATCCCATCTTGTCCATTTCATTCTATTCATGAAACATTTATGTCGGTTGGGAGTCGCTGAGATAATTTGCTGGCCCACTAATGAGCTGTGACCAGCACTGGAGAGATGCTACATGTAAAACAAACACACTTGTCAGTGGTGTGCGTGTGAAAGTATTCGGGACTGTTTTAATGTCGGGGTGTGTGAAGGGACACACAGGGCAGCATGCAGACTGGAAAGCATTCTGTAAGGACTGGGGACACAGAACCCTGAAGGAGACTGGCCGGCGGAGAGCGTGAGCTGTTCACTAAGCTAATTATAGTTTGTGCTTCTCAGACTAGCAACTCTTCCCTCTTGCGGGGGGCGTTGTCACCTCCAGGGTATCTGCCCTGAAGTCCTGATAATCATTCTGGGGTTTTAATAAAAGGCTGAAAAAAATGTTGTGAGCTTTCAACAGCCTTTAACAGGCTCACCTGCTTAAAAATCTAACACAGGGTCCTGAATTTGGGATGTTGAAAGGGACCCTTGAGGTGCCAAGAGAGACTTGGAGCCTTTCTCCAACATTCCTGCTGGTGATCATCCAGCCTCTGGCTCCCTCCACTGCCTGGCTGAGCCCCTGGCCCCTGATGGACATGGGTTAAGACAATGGGAACCGACTTTGTAAGGAAGCATGTTCCGCCATTAGCCTGCTTTAAACACAATGATCATTGACTGAGCCCAAATCCAATTATGTGTTAGTTGAGCACCAACTGTTCTCTCACTTCCACTCTCTCACTGTTTGGTTCGTTCACTGATTCATGCTTCCAACAGCATATACTGATTATGAGTATACACGACACTGAGATCATGACCTGAGCCGAAGTTGGACACTTAACCGACTGAGCCACCCAGGCGCCCCTGCCCCAAGCCATTTCTTTTTGAGGCTTATTATCTGTAGCTTCTCTAGTTTTTCGTATATTCTAGTTTTTCAGATCTCTGAGCCACTGAGCCTGAGAAACCCTTTAGTGTATCAGAGACCTTCTTAGAGTCACTGAGCATCCAGGGTAATGGGAATAGAATACATTTATTTTAAAGGTTTTAAATGGAATATTGAACTGAATTTCTTTGGCAGGCTTTTGTATGCAAATGACACTGGTGAGCATTATATTTTACCCCCAAAGTAGGAGATTTCATGAATATGAAAAGACTTTCAGTATAAGGAAGGAGGAGTTTACTCCCTCCAAATTTGACTACAGCTCTAAAATTCTCTTTATTAATGCAAAGTTCTTTTGTCATTTTGCCTTTGGGACACTGTTACCAAACCTTGGGGGAAATATCAAGTTCCAAAAACATGGCGGACACGAGTACTTGCTGGGTCCGGAGTGAGTGTTTGGTCCGTATGAAAACGACCAGGAAGACTTACAGATGGAGGTTGTTTAATGATTTGTGATAACTCAGTCTCCTGCCGTAAAACATATCCAAACTTTTAACTTTTCCTGAAGAAGCTTCTGTAGGGAACAAGCATTTGCTAATTTATCATTTAAATAAGGAAAATATTATCAGACACTGCTTGAAAAGTTCACCTTTTAAAACATTTTTATTATGCCATATAAAAACATAGAAAGATGACTGTGATAAAAACCAATGAATATATTACCAAGGTTAAGAAATAAAACAGTTGAGTGATCTTTCATTTATGACTAAATTAATTTACTAAGCATTAAACTTTTGGATTATTCCACTCAAGGTATTTCATCAGGAAGAAGGCCAGTAGGGACATTATCAGTTTTCCTAATGCAAAGGAGCTAATGCTTAGATTTTTTTTTTCTCTACATTTTCTTCCTTTTGGAACTTGTAAAGATCTTATACTGTCCTCCTCTTTCAGCTTATAAATGCACTGACAATGATATTGCATACTGCAAATCCACACATCTTATTTACTGGAGTGAAAGAGTGGAGGACACTTCTGTATCGGAGATCAACGATAACACGGTGTTATCATTTACAGATAATTATAGAAGATTTTATTATTATTTATTTAACCTGATCTTTAGGGATTCTAGTTCCTTATCGATTTATCATATTTGTTTTAATCACAGCAAACACCCAATATTGAATAACTTTGATTTATAAGATTTCTTAGCAACATATTGTGCTATGTATACTATGTAGATACTAAATGAATATGTGGACATTTTCTGTGTGCTACATCAGAGTTCAGTAGTATTCTTTCTTAGAGATATTTAAAAATACGAAGTCAATCATCTTAAATATATTACCATTAACACCCAGTATCTACTACTGCCATCAACATTTGCACAGAGTTTGGCTAATGTTAGGTACATGGTAGTGTTTTCTCATACATCAGTCTCAGAGAACTGTCGCCCGTAGTGTCAGGATGCAAACAGTTACTCATTTTTGTGGTGTTATTTTAGTTCAGTTTAACAAAGATATTACTGAGCACCTACAACATGCTGGGCACTAAGCCAGACACATTGCTGAGCCACTTGTGAGTGCTGTGCTTGATGAGTCTAGTCAGAGAATCACTCTTTACCCAGAATGAATGATTTTGCATTTAAACACTCTACAGTCAGTCGTTACTGAATACAATCTGTAAAGGCACAGACTGATGTTTTAAGTAGAAAGGATGCTTGAGACAGAACATAACGACGAAACCTAAAGGGAGTATGATTTTGGTGTGTGGTTGGTAGGATCACTATAGTGTAATGTGACTTAAACCTTGGATCAATCTATACTTACTTCAGTTTTTTAAGTGTAAGTGATGTCTTCTTTCTTATGACTGTACTGTTTAGATTTACATATTAAAAAATGGATCAAGGGTGCCTGGGTGGCTCAGCTGGTTAAGCGTCTGACTCTTGATTTCAGCTCAAGTCATGATCTCATGGTTCGTGGGATCCAGCCCCGTGTCGGGTTTGGTGCTAACAGTGCAGAACCTGCTTGAGATTCTCTCTCTTTCTGCCCCTCCCCTGCTTATGCATGTTCTCTCTCAAAAATAATTTATTTTAAAAAGAAAAAAAATGGATCATAAAGATACTAGTAACACATATGTATGTGTGTGTGTGTGTATATGCATATTTATACATACATGTACAAAAACACACATATATACACATATGTATATATGTATATATGTGTACATATGTGTGGGTACATATGTATGCATGTAAATGTGTATTTTATTATTGGGATTAGGAATTCTTTTCCCTTTGTGGAATTTCTTGTAAAGAATTCAATATTTAAGAGAACTGGAGTATTTCTTCCCTCACCACAATAATACCATCATATTCTATTAAGTGAGCTGTCACAAGTCATAATGCTCATTTAAAAGCATTTATTAAATAAACCAGGTAGGGGCGCCTGGGTGGCTCAGTGAGTTAAGCTTCTGACTTTGGCTCAGGTCCTGATCTCGTGGTTTGTGGGTTTGAGCCCCGTGTTGGGCTCTGTGCTGACAGCTCGGAGCCTGGAGCCTGCTTCAGATTCTGTGCCTCCTTCTCTCACTCTGTCCCTTTCCCGCTCATGTTCTGTCTGACTGTCTATCTCTCTCTCTCTCAAAAATAAATAAATATGTTAAAAAATGAAATAAGCTAGGTAAGGATGTGGTTTCCCTTCGTTCTCTGGGGTTTGTATAACATTGTGGGAGGAACACAAACACTCAGCTACATACCGTAATGTCTGTGTCCAGCGATTTGGGAGGACTGTGGATACTGCGGTTTCTGCAGGGGCAGATTTGCTTTCTGCTTCTTCTTGACATTATCATCTAGCCAGCTGTCTTGGGTAACTTGAACGTGCCATCCCCATCTCTGCCTACTTTAAGCCTCACGCACCTAAAAGAGATAGTGTTTTGAATCCGAGTTCTCTAATTTTCCCTCCTTTCCCAAGAAAGTTATGAGTCTGAGGAAAGCAGGTTTAAGGAAGGAGAGGGAGAGGATGATGAGCATTTCTTTCTGACGCCGGCCTTGTGCATTCTTACGAGAAGGTGCAGTAAGTCCCTGGCGTGCAGCAGGAAATAGAGTAGTTGGGAATAGGGAAATAGGATTAATTTCTGTGTCATAATTTTGTAGCGTGGTTTCGCTTTTTAACAAAGTATCTCAACTTCCCGGAATAAGCCAGAACCAACTTGAAATACATGTAATAAGATAGAAACACTTTGTCAAGGAAACAGAATTCCTAAAAACCATCTACCACTTGGAATTACTAACCCCGCTCCCCACACCCCAGTCCCCCTTAGACTGGGCGGCCAAAATGGATACTTAGGTGCCGCATGGGCCTGTGCAGGTCTCCTTGCTTGTAAATTAATTTTGTTAAATGCTACAGTGCTTCAAGGAGAGTATAGAGTGCACCGAGCTCGCTGCACTTACCCCGGTCTGAGGTCTGGTTGTGGAGCTGTACTTACCTGAGAGTCAGTGCATCTTCAGGTTGTGAGGAGACGATTGTAACACATGAGAAGAGCAGAGCAAACCACGGGGAATGAGCACGTCTAACATTCAGCGTTAACAACCAGACAAAAGTTAAAGCGATGTGGACACATGTTTTTGGTTTACACAACTACTATTGTGTTGTGTGCTTCTTAGTAACAATGGTAAGCAGCAGTGGACATAACCAATATAGAAAAATGGCTTTTGAGACCCTTGTGGAGACCCTCGATCCAGAGAGAGGCCAAATCTTTTCTTTCTGGTGCAGGGGCCTGGATGAGGGAGGGCTCTGCTAACGATTCCGGGACCAGGACTGAGATGTCAGGTCTCACCAGACTTAAAGAGCAGCTCTCTGGGTGCCTGGGTGGCTCAGTCGACTGAGCGTCTGACTCTTGATTTCGGCTCAGGTCATGATCTCACAGTTCATGGGATCAAGCCACACGTCAGGCTCTGCACTGTCGCAGAGCCTGCTTCAGATTCTCTCTCTACCTCTCTTTCTGCCCCTCTCCTGCTCTCTGGCTTGCACATGCTGTCTCTCTCTCTCTCTCTTCTCTCTGCCCCTCCCCCTGCTTGCAAGTACACACACTCTCTCTCAAACTAAAGACATAAACATTTAAAAAAAGAAGAAGAAAGAGCAGCTCTCTTATGCACCCAAGTTGCCCCACTGCACTCAAGAGCTAATGTTGAGGGAAGTGAAAATAAGGCTGACAAGAGGTGGTGAGAGGGAAGAGCTGGGGCAGCTCAGTGGCCGGGAACCCACCAGTGCTCCTTCCTGATCTGCTTCTGCAGGGCTGCTCTCCCAGGAGGGTGCTGAGGGGTGTGATGCAAAGGAAGGCTCCCTATCCAAGCATTTCTGCGGGCACCCCATAAACAGGGAGTGTACTTGCTTAGTCAGAAAATACCATTGAAGGCACAGAGGAGGAGTATCAATTAGTCACTTCTAGGTGTGAATTAATGCCCTTATTTGCTTTTTCTGGACTCCGACCTAGATGGGGTAAAGCACAGGACACCATAACAGAGGATGTGATCAAAACTATATTAAGTGGCTTTAGGCAACCAGGTGGAAAAGGAGAGCAATGGGCCCCCAGGAGATGGAGGAAAAAGGCATTGGGTCAAGAGGGACCAGAGGGGTCAGGAAAATGTGATAAGGCAATAAGGAAAAGAAGGTGGCAGGAGAGTAATAGAAAGAGTGTGGGTGTGACCTGTGGGCCTTGACTCATGCTTTGCAAAGTCAAAGGGCATGCAAGGCTTTTGTGATGGGCTTTGTGAACTCCACTGGCAAAGGAATCTACAGCAGTCAAACTTATACATGAGACAGACAGAGGCTTCAGACGTCAGTTTCTTCATTTATACACAATAGGAGCTACACATTTCTGAGCAGTGAGCCACCAACAAGGTCTTCCTTCAAATGGGGGATGTTGTGTGTAATGCTACTGATGCACACGTGACAAATCTGTCCTGCGAAGCCTCTTTGCTTCTTGGTATTCTGTGGTCTGTTGTTTCTTGTCGACAGCCTAGTCCTGCTCTCAGCATTTCCTTTATTCTTACTTGATCACAGAACACCCATTTCACTAATCCACTCTAATAAGTATATATATATTTTTCCATCTGAGAAACAATGTAGCTTAATTAAGGCTATCATGGATCAAAGAAACTTTGGGGCCTATTTTTTGCTGGGGGGGGGATGGTGATTAGACTTGTTTTTTGACATTCTAGGCTTTAGGGCAGAGTCAAAGCTGTGTATTTATGAAGCCATAGTCTCCTGACCTCATCCAATTTTAACCACAATAAAGCATTTATATATGGTACCATATCTGTTACTGGCCCTTTTTAAGTCACTAAGGAGAGACACATGGATAAGACTTTACTCTTCAGAAATCCCATGGTACAAAATGAGTTTGGTTTTACGTGCCCTAATCTACACTGTATCCTATGCTTTCTCTCTTACTGTAGGACACACATAGCTCATCACCAAGAAAAACTGCACAGGAGAATCAGTGTATTTCACGATCTGCATAAACTTTTTAATGTAATTTAAGAAAACTACGAGCGCTAAACATGATAGTTCAAAGAGAACAGAAATTCAGAATGTAAGGTGTTACTAAAGTTCCAAAAAGGCATCGCTCTCAGGTGTCTCACTAGAATACGGTCTGATGTCCCGAATTAACATACGTTGTATTTCATGGGGCTGTGGTAGGGAGGATTACAAATGAATCCCGTGGTCTGTTGACAAAGGGCGTCCTGATGGCCTGTTCTGAGAATCTGGTTCTGAATGAATAAGCTACCACACTGCAAATGGTCCGTGAAATACAGAACCCCACTCAGAGAAAAGCCCAGCAGAAGTCCTTCAGCGCTCCCTTCAGTAAGCTCTACGGCACTCATATGACCCCCACGCCATGCTCCCGTCTTCTTTGGTCCACGAAGAGGGGTCCTGAAGGGAAGGGGCGTCTACCCCCTCCTCTGGGGCGAGGGGCACCACCTTGTGCGGTAGATCATTGGACATGGTCATGAAAGGGGTGAAGGGATACGGGGGTGGGGTGGGGTACCCCGGCACATGATACAGATCCTCTAGTGCATGCAGGGAGTAGGACTGAGCCCCAGCTAGGGGGGCCCCCCAGCTGGAGCTCCTGTGCTGAGTGCTGGTCCCAGACTCCAGCTGCGAGAGACATCCTGTGCTGGGCGGCAAGGTCTGCGGGGTATCGGCGGGCATGGGGTCTGCCTGGCTGAGACCATCGGGCACCGTTTGCTCCCATGAGTCCCTCTGAGGAGAACGGAAAGGTCACTGGGGTTAGTCATCAGATGATACTCCGACGTGGACACATTTCCTCACCGACACTGGCTGTGGTCACACCATGGCTTCCAGAGGGGACTCGGTGTCCCCTCTCTGCTGTTCCAGCTTCCTTACCAGGCACCTGTTCCCTCTGGTGTCTAATACCAGCGGTGAGAGTTTTCGTTCCTTTCTTACTCTAGAATTAGATTCTCTATATTTATTACAATTCCTTTCCCCAGAAAACACCACTAAAGGAGTGAAAGGAGGGAATAAAAGAAACATTTATACAGCATTTTACCCATTACGACGTACTATGTCTTGCATTCTTTTTTTTTTTTTT